TGCGGGCGTGCCCAAGATCCTGAGAGGAGAATGGAGGAGAAGGGACTGCGGTGTGACCACCCCCCCTGGGGGTTGCTTTCTCGCTTTCTGTCTCTATGTCTCTCTCAGTCTGTCTGGCGAGCGCACACGCCCTACAGTGAAAATCTCTCAAAAAAAAAAAAGAGAAGGGATTGCAGCATGGCCATCCCCCTGGCGGTGATTTCTCACTTTCTGTCTCTCTCTGTCTTTCTGGCAAGCGCACACGCCCTATAGCAAAAACCTCTCAAAAAGAAAATAATGTAATAATGAATGAAATTAAATAAAATAAATTTTTAAAAAAGATAAAATAATACAAATAGAAGTTGAACTTACCTCTTTCTGCTACTCAGGCATATTATCCTCTCAATCATTCTCCCCAGAAGCAACTATTACTATGACTGTATGTGTATTCTCCCAAAATACATGTGTGGGACCATCACTGGCTGGGTGGCTAAGAGAACCAAATCTCACACGGCCAACTGGAAGGGTCAAGTCTCAGACTCTGCAGCTTGAAAAACACATCAAGCTCATGCATGCCACAAATCCTGATGGGATAGAGAAATGGAGAAGGGGTTTTGGGGACCAGCAGTTAGCGTAATGGCTGTCGCTGGACTCCCATGTAGTTGACTGAGGTTCAAGTCCCGGACCCAGCTTAAACTCACCCTAGGTGTGTGTGGGTGAGTGCCCAAGATCCCGAGAGGAGAATGGAGGAGAAGGGATTGCGGCGTGGCCATCCCCCCTGGGGGGTGATTTCTCGCTTTCTGTTTCTCTGTCTCTCTCTGTCTTTCTGGCAAGCGCACGTGCCCTATAGCAAAAACCTCTCCAAAAAAAAAGGGGATTTTAGCACAGCCATGCCCAGTGAGGGGATTCTTTCTCCCTTTCTCTGGGCCTCTGTCTCTCCATCTCTCTCTGGGGAGCATGGATGCCCGCTAGCAAAAGGAAAAAAATATATGTGCATCTATAAATGATACATAGTATAGTTTTATTTTGTTTTTTAAGAAACATCAGTGCTGTTTTTTATGTATGGTTTTGAAACTAAATTTTTTTACTCAATATTGTTTGTGAGGCCTGACTATGTTTATGTACATTTACATCTAATTCATTTCTTTTAACTGTTGTATGGTACTCTGTGGAACTCTACATAAGATTCATTTATCCATTCCTCAGTTGATGGAGTTTTATGATTTTTGCTATCAGAAAGATTGCATATATTTTACTTTTTCCATAAAGAGCATAGGAAATACCCATATGAACTTTTTTCTTTTTAAAGAATTATTTTATTCAACTTTATTTATTTATTTTTAAATTGATCAGAGAGAGACAGAGTCAGAGCAAGAGCAAGAAAGAGAGAGAAAGTGAGAAAGGAAGCTACCAGGTCCAGGACTTGAACCATGGTCAGCCATGTGGGAGTTCAGCATCCTTAACCACCACACCACCTGCTGGAACCCCATATGAACTTTTTAAGAATAAATAAGCAAAGCAATGATAGGTAAAACGCTTCCACAGATGGAAAGAATTGTAAGAGATGAAGCAGGAAGGAAAGACCTTCATTGTAGATGCTTTGAGGGAGAGGCCAAGCTGAATTAATATGTATTAAGTACCTACCATATAACAAGAGATTTGTATACATCAGCAAACCACAGAAGATTTCTAGTAGAAGAGTGACTTAAGAAAAGGGTAATTTTAAAAATGTTTATTTATTTATTTAATTCTATTTTATTATTAATATTATTATTATTTTAATTTGACCAGAGAGAAACAGAAAGGGAAAGACCAAGCTGCCAGGTCCAGGACTTGAACTACATCGACCATGTGAGTGAGAATCCAGCATCTTTAACCACACCACCTGCCAGCCCTGGAAAGGGTAATTTAAGAAGATTCATTTTATAGGAAGAAAGAAAACAAAAGAGACATATATATTTAGTTAAACGTTTGTTTTACTGTCCAACCTTACTATGTGATAAGCTCTAGGAATATAAAGATGAATTTGATTTAAGGCACAATTCATGCCCTTGGGAGCCCACCTACAAGAAATCCAACATAGACATGCTAATGTATAATACCTTTGCTTGCTGTTCTGTTGCCTTGTGGCTGCATTCCAGTTGCTTCTCAGTTGTTGGAGACTCATCAGATGGTGCAAATCTGTCTGCTGCCCACCACTTGAGTCAGGTCCATGCCACCCATCAGAAATCAGCTGACCAACTACTGCATGTAACTTCTGTTATCAAAGGGACAGCCATTACTAGTTTCTCTCTCTTTTATGCTCTTCTTCAGGGGATAATGTAAAGATTCTTTCTATTCTAGAAGCTGACAGGACTTAAATCTAAGAAGTGCCAAGGTGGAGACAAACAAAATCTTGGGACAAAACATTTTTGCCCTGTGCTGGGGACAGCTTCTGGCCCACCATGGCTCCTGTGAAGATCAGCCACGTGGTATCATTTTCCTCTCAGGTATATTTATTAGCAGGCATGTTATTTTTTTTTTCTTGATGACTCAAAGGAATGAGAAAATAGGTGTGTTGGCCCCATTTCCAGGAAACACCCAACTTAATAGAGCATTGTGCATTCTCTGAGAGTCCAAAGTCTGAGGCGAGAAAGAGCTCTTGCCCTCAGGTTGTTCCCAGAGCTACACAGAAAGCATTAAAGAAGCATTCGCAGAAGTTGAAGGTAAAGAGGTGCCAGGAAGCACCCTCAAGATTCCATCCATAGGTTGAAGGGAGCCGGCAAAGCTGTAGGCCCAGAATCTGCGTCAGGGTCCCCAGTGGGGCGTCGGCAGCCCCAAGCTCTGCTTCTTAGGCTCTCCAGTGCTTTCACACATCTTAGAACCCTTTCCTACCATGTATCCTGAGTCCTCAGCCCCTACTGTTACCCCCCTCTCTGTCCCATTTTGGGAGGGTTTTTTAGAGGTTTTTCCCTTAGTGCATGTGTGCCGGAATCCCTTCTCCTCCATTCTCCTCCTGGGATCTTGGGCACACACCTGGCATGATTTTCAAGCCATCGGGTCCAGGACTCGGACCACTGTCAGCCATGTGAGTCCAGTGAAGTAATCACTATGCCAACTCTTACCCCTTTCTATTCACTTTATTTGCTTGTGCCTCATCCCATTATGTGCTTGGTCACTTGTCATTTCTCAATTTCTCACACCAGGAACTTGAGGAAACCTCTGCCCTCTAAGGATATCGCCACGTCCCTCAAGTGTAGCTCAGTCTCCTCTCTGAAAGTCCTGTAATATCCCAGTTTGAGCTAGGTCCTGGGCCCTGGGCCCTGGGCCTCTCGGGCTGACCAATGTAGTTCTGAAGGACCTCAAATGTTTTCCTCTGCTATCACTGCTCCACCCATTTACCCCTTGTCCCCTCTCTTCCCCTTCTGGTACCCCAGCCTTTTGCAAGGGGTGCCATTGGCATATGAGAAGATCCATCTGTATTTTATAGCACTATCACACAGTAGGATATTTAGCATCCCTGGCCTCCAGGCCCTAATCACAATATTGCTTCCTAGTCATTATGACAGTCAGAAACATACCCACACATTTCAGAAAGATGCTCTAAGATTCTTTAGGAATTACTGTATTAACCCCTGTCCTATGTGAAATAAAATTTAAATTACACATATCCTCTTTACCTGCCTCATCAGCCTAATTTTCTTCCTAAACTCTTATCCTTATAAAATGCTAGAGAGGACCAGCAGGTGGCACAGTGGTTACGGTGCTGGATCCCAGATGGCCAACTCTGCAGTTTGAGTCCCATACCCAATGGCTTGAAAAACAAGCCAGGTGCAAGAGGAACATGGAGGAGAAGGGATTCTGATGTGGCTATCCTACAGGGGTTGCTTTCTTACTTTCTATCTGTCTCTCACTCTCTCTCTGACGAGCACATGCACCCTATGACAAAAATCTAAAAAGGAAGAAAAATGCTAGAAAATATGAACTGTTTTCTAACGCAGTGGTTTTCAAACAAGTATGTCTTCAGCATCCCCCCAACAGTGCTTTAACCAGAGTTCTGCTTTTATTTATTGAAAAAATTACTAAGACACACAAACTTCAGTGTAATACTTCAGCTAAGAACAAGGATCTTATTATCGAAACAAGAAACAAGGTTAAAAACCATGAATCTGTTTCCCCCCCCCCCCGCCGCCTTTTCCTTTTTTTTTTTGCCCCCCCCCCCCCGCCTTTTACTTATGGATAAAGAAATTTAGGTCCAGAGAAAGAAAGTAGTTTGCCCAAGTCCTCAAAAAATACAGAACTCGGAATTTCTATCTCAGTGTCACTAGGTTGACTTGGAATAGTCACTTTATACCCACACATCTGCTGTAAACTTAGAATAAAAGTCTTTGCTTTTCTTATAAGATTATTTGGAAGATAATGTCTGTGAGAACATCTTATAAATGAAAAGAAATAGTGTAGTGTGGTGGTTAAGACTTTTGGTTTGAGGGGACCAGCAGATGGCATAATGGTTATGTTGCTGGACTCCCACATAGTCACCTGTGATTCAAGTCCCGGACCCAGCAGCTTAAAACTCACACCAGGCATGTGTGCGTGTGTGCCCAAAATCCCAAGAGGAGAATGGAGAAGAGGGAATTGCAGCATGGTCACCCCCGAGGGGTGATTTCCTGCTTTCTGTCTATCTCTCCAGCAAGTGCATGTACCCTATAGCAAATATCTCTCTTGAAAAAAAATAAAATAAAAAAGAGTTCTGGTTTCAGATACCTAGAAATCTGTTTTCGTTGGTGTTTTGGTCTGTGGGTCTGTGTAAGTTTCTGAACTTCTAAGTTTCAGTGTTTCGACCTATTAACTAAGAAGCAATGATAATAACCCCCTAAGAGTTGTTATAAGGATTACATGCAGTAGTCAGGTAAATGATGTAGAGGAAAATGGTGTCTTTTTTTTTTTTTAAAGAGAGATTTTTGGGGCCAGCAGGTGGCATGGTGGTTAAGGGCGCTGGACTCCCACATGGCCGACCGCAGTTCGAGTCCTGGATCTAGCAGGTTGCTTTTCTCACTTGTTCTCTCTCTCTCTCTCTCTGTCCCTCTCTGGTCAAATTAAAATAAATAAATAAAGTTAAATAAAATAGTTTTTAAAAAGAGAGAGAGAAAAAAATGTTTGCTATGGGGCGCATATAGTCACCAGAGACATAGGGAGAGACAGAGAGACAGAAAGTGAGAAATTACACCCCTCCAGGGAGAGGGTGGTCACACTGCAGTCTCTTCTCCATTCTCACCTAGGGATCTTGGGCATGTACACACACACACACACCCAGCGTGAGCTTTAAGCCACAGGGTCTGGGACTTGAACCACTGTTGACTACTTGGGAGTCCAGTGACATAACCATTATGCCATCTGCTGGTCCTGGTAAATGAAGTCTTTAAACCTGTTGGCACTTGAGAGCTGTATTTCTATGGATTCCCATCTTTCTGTCATTTTAGGGTGCCTGGAAAGATTTGGAGTCATAGGGATTCCTCATTCATAGGCATCCTTTTCTTCCTTGGGCTCAGTGAGGTTCCTGGTTTTCTCCTTCTCTCTCTGATTTAGGATCCCAGATACCCTGTGGAGAACTTGCTGAACCCAGACAGTCACAAGGGACCTTGGCTCAGCTGCCCTCAGGACAGAAGTGGACAACTGAGAGTGGAACTGCAGCTGGAGAGGGCAGTGCCCATCGGCTACATCGATGTGGGTGAGCAAATTCCCTGGGGCCTACCAACCTCTGAGGGACGACACAGGAGTGGCGTTCTCCTCGAGCACACCACTAAAATGCCTCATTCCATTCTGACTGAAATGAGTCCCTGGAATAACACCGCCAGGGTGTGAAGGGGGCATGTGGCCCTTGTCCTTGGCCAGGTCTGTGGGTTGGAGAACTCCAAGGCTCCTTTCACAGAGAGCACACTATGTTTGGTGCTCCTTGAGTTACGCAGTGTAACTGCCCTGCTTAGAGCTGAGTGATCTGAGTAAAGCCTTGGGACATGGACGTAGTTATAAATGCCAACAAGTGACATCTGTAAACACTTCCCGGTGCTGGAGGGATGAACTGTCTAGGGTTAATCCGGAAAGGCTACGTAAGAATTTATGGATTGAGAAGGTTGGCCTTAGAATTCTCTGGAGTAGGGCTGGCTCTGTGCCCTGTGGTTAAGGGAGCCAGATCCCACGTGGCCAACTACACCATTCAAATGTTGGCCCTGGTGGCTTGAAAAACATGCCAGGCACGTGTGCATACATGCCTCAAACCCCAACATGATGGAGAAATGGAGAAGGGATTGCGGCGTGATCATTTCCCATTTGGGAGGTGCTCCCTCCCTCCCTCCCTCTCTCTCTCTCTCTCTCTCTCTCTCTCTCTTTCTGGCAAGCACAAATGCCCTCTGGCAAGAATTTATAAATAAACAGTCAGAGACCACTAGTCTCAGCTCTGTGAGCACAGAGAGGTGTCAGGCCCTCTAGCAAGGATTTAAGAAGATAGAATTTACAGTGTCTGCCTGGGCCCACACTGGAAAAGTGACCAGAAAGCAGCAGGTCAGTTCAGTCAGGGGGAGGTTTCTGGCTGGGAGGACCATGGTGAAGCTCCACCTTGTCATTTGGTGGACTGAGTCCTACCCCACTTTGGTCGCTGGCTTCCTGAGATTCTACAAATTGTATTGCTGGACCTTTCTGGCTTCCTATCATGGAGCAGTGTCCTCTTCTAACCCACATCCCTCGTCTGCAGTCGTCTGTCACCCTGACCCTTCTCGCAACCCTTTATCCCTAGGTAACTGTGGCTGTGCTTTCCTGCAAATCGATGTGGGCCGTTCTTCCTGGTCTCTGGACAGACCTTTCGTCACCCTGCTCCCTGCAACCATGCTGATGTCCCTGACTGATTCAAAGCAGGGGAAGAACCGCTCAGGGGTTCGCATGTTTAAAAATGGTAAGAAGGGGCCAGCAGGTGGCATAGTGGCTAAGGTGCTGGACTTCCACCCGACCAACCGCGGTTTGAGCCCTGGACCCAGTGGCTTGAAAATCAGATGGGTGTCTGTGCATGTATGCCTAAAATCCTGAGAGGAGAGTGGAGGAGAAGGGATTGTGGTGTGGCCATCCCTCATGGGGGCTGATTTCTCACTTTTCCTCTCTGTCTCTCTCCAGCAAGTGCACACACCATATGGCAAAGATCCTAAAAAAGAAAAAGGTCAAGAAGGCAAAGGCAGAGAGGGGCTTATGACAAAGAGAGAGGCAGTGCTGTCGAGGGCCGTAGGAGGTGGTGGGTGAGACCCAGAGGGAATCTGAGCAGGGGCTTAGTTACATTGTCGGGGGTGGGGTCATTACTGAGTTACCACTCACTATGGGGGAGATGGATGACCTTGACTGATATTTACACACACCTTGTGATTTTCGTGGAGCCTGATTAGAACACAGGCTTGATTACCATGCTTTGGGTTGTATAAATCGGTGCAGGATACATTGTATACGTAGGTGTGGGATAAATGTTTCTATGTGTGGCAGAGGGCTATGTGACACCTGCAGTTATGTAGCATACAGTGTTTCCTGAATTTTGTTTATGCAAATCTCTGTGTTCACTAGGCACTGCAGAAGAAACAGAAGATCTGATTCCTGGCCTCCAGGGACTTAACAGTCCCACAAGGATTTGCCTGTATTTAAATTGGAGTTGTTTTGAATATTGTAAAGGAGGGGCATATGAGGTGGAGGTGAAGGAGGTAGTGACTGGCGAGTGTCAGGAGTTGAGGGTGTGGATGGTTTATGATACGGGTGTTTGATGCTGCAGAATGAGCGTGCAGCACATGGTGGGTGTGAGCAGAGCTGAGATCTCCCAGTTCAGGAAGGGTCCATATCTGAGCTAATCCACTGGGCAAGTGTCTTCTCAACACTACCGGGACCTCCTGTTAAAATGAGATATTCATGGGGCCAGATGGTCGCACAACACTAGTGCTATGCTCTGTGAGGCTGACCCACATGAGAAGGTTCCAGGTTCGTGTCTGGAGACCTCCCAGAACATGCCAGGCACTGGGTTGATGCTAATCAGGGTTGGCTGAGGCTGGAATGGAACATGGTGTGAGGACTTCCCTGGGGCAGGGGGGTGGGGGGTTGTCCTGTCTTTCTTTGTCTTATAGGAGAAAGAAATAAACTTTGTTTTTAATGGGAAATTAAATAGGACCCTGGAGAGGTGGAGAGTGAGGATGTGCTCATGGTGGGAATGGTGTGGAACCATGACACAGGCGTGAGGGTGGGAAGGATGGAGCTGCACCTGAGAGGCCCTGTCCTGCCTAGCGCTACCACACCTTGAGCATCAAAGCCTGAGGGAGACAGTTACGATGATCTCCACTCTTCCTTTTGCTGGCGTTTATGTAGCCCTAGTCTTGTCTTAATGTTGACATTCTCTTCCTTTCCTCCTCTTATTTATACACTTCCTTTCCTCTTAACTATCTTTTTTTTTTTTTGAGAGAAATTTTTGCTATAGGGCGTGTATGTTTGCCAGAGAGACAGAAAGTGAGAAGTCACCCCCCCGGGGGGATGGCCATGCCCCAGTCCTTTCTCCTACATTCTCCGTGTGAACTTGAAGCCACCAGGTCTGGGACTCAAACCACGATTGATTACGTGGGAGTCCAGCAATATAACCATTATACTATCTGCTGGTCCACTGTTTTTCTTTTTTTTCCCCTTAAGATGATTTCCTGGCTCCAGCCTCAGGAGAGGCATGGGATCGACTCCGGCTGACCTGCTCCCAGCCCTTCACCCGGCTCCAGTCCTTTGGCCTGGCCTTCCTGCGGGTGCGTTCCTCCCTGGACTCCTTAGATGACCCTGTGGCGGGTCCCTCAGCCCCGGTGAGCCCCAGACTGAGCCAGGTATGTGTAATGATGGAGCGAGGACTTCATGTTTTCCCTCCTTTCCAAGGTTCTGGATAGGAAGCTGGTGCTTAATTGAGGGATAGACACACACACAAACATGTACGCTAGTGGGCTTGCTACCTTTCTTACAGGGAAGAGTAAACTTCTCTCCACCCTCTTTGACCTGTAGAAGGTGTAAATGAGTGAGCCCTGAATATAGTGTACACAAAGCTATCAGACCAGGTCCTCTTTCGCCATAATGAAATTGGTTTTAGATCCAGGCTTCACCTCCTATTCTGTATGTAAGTCCTTGGGGTCTATAGCTTTCATCGGAAATTTCTCCCAGCACCTAAAAGTCCCAGGGCTCTTTACAGCAACTCTGTCATTGTTGCTTCCTGCCCCATCTGCCTTGGAAAACCAGGTCTACCCTTAGACGTGACATAGTAAGCATTTTTTGTTTGAGAGTTTTTTTAGGGCGCATGCACTTGCCAGAAAGACAGAGAGAGACAGAGATACAGAAAGCAAGAAATCACTCCCAAGGGGGATGGCCATGCCACAACCCCTTCTCCTCCATTCTCCTCTCAGGATCTTGGGCATGCACCCACACGCACCCGGCATGAGTTTCAGCACCAGGTCCACGACTTGAACCGCGGTCGGCTATGTGGGAGTCCAGCAACATAACCATTATGCCAACTGCTGGTCCCAAGCATTTTTTAAATAATTATTTATTTAATTTTATGATGATGATGATGATTATTATTAGTTTGCTATAGGGTCAAAGAAAGACAGAGGAGGGTGGAGAGAAGTGAGAAAGCAAGCTGCCAAGTCTGGGACTCGAGCCACGGTTGGCCACGTGGGAGTCCAGCACCTTAATGACCACACCACCTGCTGGTCCCATAATAAGTATTTTACATGCTCTTTTTGAAGGCCCCTCATGTGTGCTCTGCAGTTTTATTTCTTCCTCTGCTTTTCTCGCTGTGCAACACACATATACTCCTATGAGAAGATGCTTGGTTATGAGATTATGTCAATTTACCTCTCCTTTTCTCAGCTAGTTTTGTAGTCATTTTCTCTTTTTAAATTTATTCCAATTCCTCTCTTCCTAGTTCCTTCTCACTGACGTCTCCATTTATCTTTCAAGCCAGTGCCGTCCGCCATAATTCATCACAAATATGAATGTGCAATCACGCAAAGCTAGAGTCAGAATTCTAGAGATAGAAAACCACTTATCGATCATCTAGCCCCAACAACCTCACTTTACATTTCAGAAAAGGACACTTTTATATTTCGAAAGTTACACCGGAAGCCAGTAGGTGGTGTAGTGGTTAAGACACTGGACTCCCATATGGCCAAATCAGGGCTTAAGTCCCAGACCTGAGGCTTGAAACTCACACCAGGCGCATGTGCATGTGTGCCCGAAGTCCCGAGAGGAGAATGGTGGAGAAGGGATTGCGGCGTGGCCATCCCCCCCATGGGGGTGATTTCTCGCTATCTATCTATCTCTCTCTGTCTCTGTGTGTGTCTGCAATCTCACACACCCTACAGCAAACATCTCTCAAAAAAATAGAAAAGAAAGTCACGCAGGGAGTCAGAGCAGAGTAGGGACTAGAGTCAGGTCTTCTGGCATTATTCTACGTGGACTCCAAGGCACGGGATACATGTCTTAAAAGCTTGAATCATCTGACGACCAAAAGGATTCCATTTCGTGGGAATAAAGCTCACAAGACTGACTCCCGTGGGGTTACTGAGCAAAAGCAGAGCTGGCATAAGAAGGAGAAAAGGAGTGAGAGCAGACCGGATGATTTTTGTAGTGCAGCCTTAGCAGAGGTCCTGAGAGCTGAGACAGAGAGAAGCTTGGTCTGAGCTTTGCTCTCCCGTCGTGGAAAAGTCTAAACAATGTAAGAAGACTGAGGAGGCAGGTCAGCATCTGCTACCAGGTTCCTCTGGTGCCGTGCTGGGGGCTGACATGAATGAAGCTGAATCTCTATGACCTCGGCTATTCAATAAAAGGGAAGCTCCATGAGATTAGGGACCAGACAGTCTTGTTCCATGATGTAATCCAGGCACTTAGAACAGCGCCTAGAGCAAACCAGGCCTTTAGTATAAATGTTCATTATGCGAATAACCTTTCAGAGGGGAGTTGTAGATAGAATCACCATCAAATGTATCATCCAAACCAAGAATGGCACTGAGGGCAGAAGACTCTCGTTAACAGTTACGCTGGGACAACAGACACGGGCCAAGACTTCCCCTGGCAAGCCGGGATGTACGGTCACCCTAGTGTTACGGTTAATAAGGGCTTCCCTGAGTCTTTTCTGCTTTGACCATTATTTATTTATTTTAAATTTGCTAGAGTGTGTATGCACTTGTCACACACACTCTAGCAAAGTATAATTATTACTAGTTTGCCAAAACAAATTATACTGGAAATTAAACAATATTATTACATAATGTTAAGAAGGAAATATGCATCCGTGCATACCCAAGATTCCTGGAGGAGAGTTGAGGAGAAGGGATCACAGCATGGCCATTCCCCCAGGGGCTGATTTTTCACTTTCCCTCTGTCTGTCTCCTCTGGTGAGCGTACGTGACCTAAGGCAAAAACCTCTAAACAAACAAACAAACAAGAAAGGGACTATGATAAAATGTCTTCAGATAGTTCAAAGTGGAAGGTCCATGTATATATATAAAGAAATATATATGTGTACTTGATTTCTTATGAAGGTATATGAAGAGAGATGGGTGATTTAAGTTTTGAACCTATGTGAATCCATTTTAGTCATATTCTATATAGACCTGTTTTTCCCAAGGGTCTTTCAGGATCATGGGCAAAACCCTTAGCAGTGGGAAACTAAATATACAAAATCGCAGACCTTAGAAATGGAAAGGAGCTCAAGAATATATACAAGAATGTGTCCCATATACATACAAGCAAGGATGCCATGTACAATACAAATTAGAGTAGATGCATTTGCTTGTTACCCCGCTGAGTTCCTCCGGGTTGGAAGCAGGCCTTTGCACTGGGAGGCAGTGTCCCCTGGTGGTGAACCGTGGTATTGATATTTCTTCGTTTTCTTCTTAGGTCTCTTCTGATTCTCCAGACTCTGGCCCCAGTCCCTGGCTGGCTAATCCTTCCATCCGGAGGACATTCTTCCCAGACCCTCAGACGTACGTAGCTGCCAGAATAGAGTTCTCTCAGCCATATCTCAGTTCTTTCTCCTGGAAGAGAAAGGCTCCCACCTCACGCACGGGCACCCAAGCTCAGCCTGGGTTCCCCCAATTAACCACATATTTTAGGTCTACCCCTGTCTGTATATCAAACTGACTTTCTTGGTTAAAGGCTATCAACTCAGGTAAGCAGGATGGGATCTGTTTTCTAATTGAAGCCATGTGCTGTCTGCTTCCCTACAGGAGCACCAAGGAAATGTCGGAGCTCAAGAATAGCCTCATGCAGCTGCAGCCAGGGACTCTGGGGCGCTCAGCCCGCATGGTGCTCTCGGCTGCCCATAGGGTGCCTCCAGCCAGCATAACAAGCCTAAAGAACCACCAGGCACAACCAGGCCCCAGTCGTCTGGACAGTGCAGGTAAGGCCCGTGACCTGCTCCTTACTGCCCCAACAATGTCCTTCCTCCCTGACCCACCACTGCTATACAGAAATCATTTACAAACAAGACTTCGTGGGGGAGAAAAGGCAGTTGTCAGTGTCTTGTTATCAGAAAAGAAGTCGAATATGGTAGTAACTGAAAGAGCACCTCCCCAGGAATCCGGAATATTATCTCTTCAAGCCTCGGTTCCCTTACCTTCGTGGTGAAGGAATTAAACAAAATAGCACGTAGACTTCTTGTAGTGTTAATGTTCTTCGATTGTCTTTGAAAGACAATCATGTCAGGTTGGTGATGTATAGAATTTACTAGAGACATAGGTAGGGGGATAGTGTGATTTTTATCACAAAAGAGGAAAAGGTTAAACAATTGGGGTTCTACTTTGCACGAGACATTGCCAAGCACTTTTACGAACTTTATCTATTTAATGAAAAGACAACAGACTTATGAAATAGATACTGATACCCTCATTTTACGGAAGAACTTGAGGTTCAGAGGGCTTCAAATTTCTAAGTTGCACAGCTAATAAGCAGAAGAGCCAGGTTTTGTTTGTTTGTTTTTCTGTTTTGTAAACTACCAGAGGGCACGTGAGCTCACCAAAAAGAGAGAGGGAGAAAGAGAATTCACTCACTGGGGTATGGTCATGCTGCAATCCGTTTCCTCCCATTTCTCTTTTCTAGATCCCCAGGATCTGGGGCTTGCATACACACTCACCCAAGTGTTTTTCAAGCTGCCAGGGCTAGGATTTGAACCACAATTGGCCATGTGGGATCCTGTTCCTAATGCACAGCACTTAACTACTATGCTGCAGGGTCAGGATTTGAACCCCAAAACTCTTGGGGGGTTTTGGGGTTTTTTTTGTTTGTTTGTTTTTGTTTTTGTTTTACTGTTCTAGATAGCAAGAGAGAAATTCAGTAGGGTTCTCACTGAAAAGTTAAAACAGGATGTTTCACTGTTTCCTTGGGGAAATTACAAAAAAGGAAAAGGTTTATCTGTCTTTGTAAAGGACCAAACAGGTTAGGATGATAATAAGTTATCATTTCCCTGCAAAAATAGAGGATACTGGCTATTGCTGCAAAAAGAACATGTATTGTCTCGCAGTAGGTGGTGGGTAGTTGGGGTTCTACTTTGCACGAGACATTGCCAAGCACTTTTACGAACTTTATCTATTTAATGAAAAGACAACAGACTTATGAAATAGATACTGATACCCTCATTTTACGGAAGAACTTGAGGTTCAGAGGGCTTCAAATTTCTAAGTTGCACAGCTAATAAGCAGAAGAGCCAGGTTTTGTTTGTTTGTTTTTCTGTTTTGTAAACTACCAGAGGGCACGTGAGCTCACCAAAAAGAGAGAGGGAGAAAGAGAATTCACTCACTGGGGTATGGTCATGCTGCAATCCGTTTCCTCCCATTTCTCTTTTCTAGATCCCCAGGATCTGGGGCTTGCATACACACTCACCCAAGTGTTTTTCAAGCTGCCAGGGCTAGGATTTGAACCACAATTGGCCATGTGGGATCCTGTTCCTAATGCACAGCACTTAACTACTATGCTGCAGGGTCAGGATTTGAACCCCAAAACTCTTGGGGGGTTTTGGGGTTTTTTTTGTTTGTTTGTTTTTGTTTTTGTTTTACTGTTCTAGATAGCAAGAGAGAAATTCAGTAGGGTTCTCACTGAAAAGTTAAAACAGGATGTTTCACTGTTTCCTTGGGGAAATTACAAAAAAGGAAAAGGTTTATCTGTCTTTTTAAAGGACCAAACAGGTTAGGATGATAATAAGTTATCATTTCCCTGCAAAAATAGAGGATACTGGCTATTGCTGCAAAAAGAACATGTATTGTCTCGCAGTAGGTGGTGGGTAGGGATCCTGGTGTGGCTTAGCTGGGTCCTTGGACTCTGGGCCTGTCACGAAACCTCAGTCATCTCCAGACTCTGCTGGAAGGGATCTGTTCCTAGCTCACTCGGGATAGCTGGGAGAATTCAGTTCCTCTGTCACGAGAGCCTCTGAGAGAGTGTATCACAGTATAGCCACTTGTTCCATCAGCGTGAGCAGCGAGAGGCAAGAGAGAGAGCTAGCAGGGAGGGATTGCTGGCTGCACAGAAGCTCCAGCCTTTGGTAACCTCATCACCTTAGCCATATTCATTAGGGTCAAATTACACTCTAAGGGAAGAGGTTTGGTTGAGGGGGCGGGAACCAATGGGAATCGTTTCACACACTGAGGTAGCTCATTATTTTGAGAGAAGGAGAATGGAAGAGAATAAACAAATTGGGGTACCGACCGCAGGCTGGGCACTGGAGCTATGAAAGCACTTTGATATATATTAAATGCTGTGCAGAGCGTTTCCTAAGTTCTCGTAACTAACAAATGGTAGTTAACGTTTTTTTTGTTGTTCATTAGGCAGATGTTTACTGAATATCTTTGATGTGCCAGACTCTATGCCAAGGCCAGGTATACCATGGTAAATGGTATAGCAGTTTATGGTAAATGAAATAGCAGTTCTCCTTCCTTAATGGAGAGACACATATCTGTGTCATACAAAGAAATCCGAAACTTAAAATTGTACTTTGAAGAAAAAGTGAAATACGATGACCAGATTTAAATCAGAGAATCCAAGGAAAGTGCCTTCTAACAATTAGTATTTCAGCTAAGACTTGAAGAGCAAAAATGAATTAACCAGGCAAAGAGGGTAGAAAAACGTATTTCTTTTCTGTAAGTTTATATATTTTTGGTTAGCCCATAGTCTAGAGCTAAAGAGAGCTAGGTCCCTTACGTGACTGAGTGTGGTTTGAATCCTGGCCCTGATGGCTTATAAAACATGGCAGGCATGTGTGTGTGTACCCCAAATCCCGATAACATGGAGGAATGGAGGAGACAGGATGGTGATGTGACCACACCCCACTAGGGGGTGATTTCTCCCTCTCTCTGGAAAGTGTACATACCTTCCAGCAATTTTAAAAATGTATATTTCTTTCATGGGGGGGGAAGCCCTGGAAGTATCTTGCCACACCCCAGTGTTCCTCCAGCCAGCCAGGATCCTGGGCATACCCAGTGCTCCGTTTACCTAGGATCTGAACCCAAGGCCTTCCCACATGGCTTCAGCATCATGCAGTGGTGTCTCACCACCTGCACCACCTGGGCTGGGCCAGAATATTCTTAAATAAAAGAACGTAACTGGGGCCAGCAATGGTGTGGTGCTTCAAGTGCTGAATTCCCACATGACTAACTGCAGTTCGAGCCTCAGACCTGACGGCCTGAGAATCACTCCAGGGGCGTGTGCATACATGTGCATACCCAAAAATCCCAGGAAGAGAATGGAGGAGAAGGGATTGCAGCATGGCCATCTCTCCCAGGGTGATTTCTCACTTTCCCTCACTCCCTGGTGAGTGCACATACCCTATGGCCAAAAACTAAAAAAAACTTTTAAAAGGATGTTATTGACCCACCTGCTTCTACTCCGGTGGTAAGGTGCCACTACATGCAGCTGGGGTCACATGGGAGGTCAGATTTGGATCTCAGACCAAACTAAAAAGGTGGAGCACAGTGGCACACAGTGGCCACGCCTGTGGTCCTAGCCAACTGGGCAGCCAGGGCAAAGGTTTGTGATGGCAGTACCTTGTCCAGAATACTTAAAATATCTGTCTCTTGTTCTCTCCCTCTTCCTCCCATTCTCTCATTAAAAATTAAAAAAAGATGGGGCCAGCAGATGGCATAATAGTTACATTGCTGGACTCCAACGTAGTGGACTGCAGTTCGAGTCCTGGACCAGGTGGCGTAAAACTCATGCTGAGCATGTGTTTGTGCATGCCCAAAATCCCAGGAGGAGAATGGAGAAGAAGGCATTGCAGCATGGCCATCCCTCCTGGAGGGTGATTCCCTACTTTCTGTCTGTCTGTCTATCTGTCTCTCTCTCTCTGGCGAGCACACATGTCCTATAGCAAAATTCTCTCAAAAGATGAAAAACACCAGAGAGCATCATATGTGAGGGCCCGTTTGTTAATGAACTAGATTTAATGGGCATTTCTAACACAGAGCCGAGAGCAGAGGATCAAAACTCAGAGAATGCTGTGGGCAGGACGAAGAAACGGAAAATACAGCACAAGAGGTGAGTAGACCCCTATCACCCTCGACCTTGCCCTTCTGCAGCTATTGCTCCTCCCCTACTCTTGCTTCAGAGAGGTCAGACCTCGTGTCCGAGTCTCGATCTCTGGGTCTGGACCTTATGGTAGTGGAGACAGGATATCCTGGGCCACATGTTGGTACGTTTGGCTGGTAATGGGATCCAGGATCTGAAGATGAGAATACTGCATCTCGTATTCTTCAGCAAAATTTCAATCTTTTCTACCTCAGAGGACACTCTTGACCCACAGGACATGGGAGAAAATATTTGCATATTGTATATTCAGTAAAGGGCCCGGACAGTGGTGTGGTGGTTAAGGCAGCTGGATCCCACATGCCCAGCTGTGCAGTCTGAGTTCCAGTCTGGTGGCTTGAAAAGCATGCCGAGTATATGTGCATGCATGCCCAAAATCCTAAGAGGGGAATGGAAGAGAAGGGATTGGAGTGTGGCCATCCCCCCTGGGGGTGATTTCTCACTTTCCCTCTCTATTTCTCTTTCTGGTAAGTGCACATGCCCTATAGCAATTAGATAGATAGATAGATAGATAGATATAGAGAAATTCAGTAAAGTAGTTATATCTAAAATATATAAGGAACTCATACACGTCAACAATAAAAGGATAACCTCATTTTGAAAATGGAAAAGGAATAGACTTTTCTTCAAAAAAGATATGCAGGTGGGGAACCAGCAGTTAGTGTAATGGCTATGTCGCTGGACTCCCACGTAGTCGACTGCGGTTTGCGTCCTGGACCCAGTGACTTAAAACACCGGGCATGTGTGCGTGCATACCCAAGATCCCGAGAGGAGAATAGAGGAGAAGGGACTGCGGCATGACCATCCCCCTGGGGGGTGATTTCTCACTTTCTGTCTCTCTGTCTCTCTCTGTCTGTCTGGCGAGCGCACGCGCCCTATAGTGAAAAAAAACTCTCCAAAAAAAAAAAAAGATATGCAGGTGGTCAGTGAATACATGAAAAAATGCTCAACATCATTAACCATCATTGAAATGGAAACCGAAGCCACAGTGATCACTTCACACCCACTAGTAGGGCTATAATAGAAAAGATACTCACCGGGCCTGCAGGGACCAGCAGATGGCTGAATTCCCACTGTGGTTTGAGTCCTGGACCCCTCAACTTAAAACTCATGCTGGGCGCAAGTGCATGTGTGACCAAAATTCCAAGAGGAGAACGGAGAAGGGATGCGGTGTGGCTGTCCCCTCTGGGGGGATGATTTCTCGCTTTATGTTTCTCTGTCTCTCTCTGTCTCTCCGGCGAGTGCATGCATCCAATAGCAAAAATCCCTCTTAAAAGACAATCACAAGTAGTGGCAAAGATAGGGAAGAACTAGAACTTTCATATATCGATATAAAATGGTGCAGCTACTTTGGAAAACGGTTTGGTGGGTCCTCAAAAGGTTAAATATAGTTACCTTATGACCCAGCAATTCCCTTTTTTAAAAATTTTTGCCAAAGGACACGTGTGCTCACTAAAAAGAAACAGAGCAAAACAGACAAGTTTAGAGACAGAAAGTAGGTGAGTGGTAGTCGGGTCGATGCGGTGGGAGGGACAGGGAACGATTTCTAATGGGTTTGAGTTTCCCTTTAGAGTGATAAAAATGCTCCTGAATTAGGTAGTTGTGTTATACAACCTTTTTCAAATACTAAAACCATTGAATATACAGTTTCATAGGGTGAATTTTGTGGTATGTGCACTATGTCTCAATTAAAAGTCGAAAGGTGAAATGAGTTCCCTGGGGACCAGCAGATGGCATAATGGCTATGTTGCTAGACTCCCACATAGTAGACCGCAGTTCAAGTCCCAAACCACCAGCTTAAAATTCACGCTAGGCGTGTGCGTGCGTGCCCAAGATCCCAAGAGGAAAATGGAGGAGAAGGGATTGCAGTATAGCCATCCCCTGGGAGTGATTTCTAGCATTCTTTCTTTTTCTCCAGCAAGTGCACATGCCCTATAGCAAAAAAACCTCTCTAAATAATAAATAAATAAATAAATAAATAAATAAATAAATAAGTTCCCCAAGTTTGGAACAGCCCCTGTAGCCTAGGGTTAAGGAAGCTGGATTCTTTGTTTTTGGAGAAGTTTTAGCCATAGGGTGTGTGTGCTCACCAGAAAGAGAGTGAGTGAGAAATCACCCCCCAAGGGGGATGGCCACGCCACAATCCCTTCTCCTCCATTCTCCTCTGAGGATTCTGGGCACACACACACATGTGCCTGGTGTGAGTTTAAGCTACCGGGTCCAGGATTGAACTGCGGTCAACTGCATGGGAGTCCAGCGACATAACCATTATGCCAACTGCTGGTCCCGTTAGGGAGCTGGATTCTATGTGGCTGACTATGGTATATCAAGTGGGATCCTACGCGGCTGACTGTGGTATATCAGCCCAGGGTTTCTAGGTCTACATCCACTATTTTACATCCTTTTCGCTCTCATTCTAGGCTCCTTCAACCCTGAGGCCTCCTGGTAATGACTGGTCTTAACTGTTCTTTCTCACAGGCCTCCCTCCAAGTCTAGTTCTCTGCCAGACAGGGGGAAAGCAGCGAGGGCAGGGCAGAGAGAACGGCGGCAACCCCAGACCCAGAGCACTGCTGTCCAGGACAGTGGGCAGTGCCCCATTTGTGCAGGTAAGGTGGCTGGGCACAGGACTGTGTGACAGCTGGGCCTCCACTGAGGGAGGCACAGGCCATCTGGAGCGCTGCCAAGGATCGCTCATATTTAGACGTTTAGCCTGTGCCGTCCCCGCAGCTCCCAGGGTTGTAATGTACTTGGGATCACGTGTAATTCAGCACAGGTCTGTGTCAAGCACCTGCTCATGCTGCGTGGGCTAGGAACTTTAAAAACAAGGGCCAGCAGGCAGCTTGGCGGTTAAGGCACTGGACTCCCACATGGCCAACTGCAGTTTATGCTCTGGACCCGGTGACTTGAAAATCACACCTGGTACATGTGCTTGCATGCCCAAAATCCCCAGAGGAGAATGGAGGACAACGGATTGTGGCATGGCCATTCCCCCTGGGAGGGTGATTTCTTACTTTCCCTCTTTCTGCCTCTCTCTAGTGAATGCATGCACCCACTGGCAAAAAACTAAAAAAGAAGAAAAAACTGTTGGGCTCTGTGCATGGCTTTTTCATAAAATGCATATTCCATGAACTTTTCAAAAATGCTGTCATAGGAAATGAACAGAGAGGGCCTAGAATTTTCTTCATAGCTTTCTACTTCGTGTCCAAATTCTACTTACTTTCCAGTGGTACTTCTCTGATCTTCCCAGATCATCTCGCCCCTCAGCTCCTGCAGCCTTCTCTGATCTCTGGGGGCTTCTTCTCCCCCCATCTGACTTTACCGTGAGACTGCATTCCATCAGAACCGCCGGCATGGCCTCTCTCAGGTCCGAGCACGCTGTCAGGCACACAGTAAACAATAATGTTTGATGGCTACATGACTGTGTCTCTGAGGTGTGACTTATTCAACCAGGTTACCTTTCCTACAAAAAACAACTGCACTTCAGCAGCCGATGTGCCCTTCAGGCTGCGTGGGCAGCCTCCTGCCAGGTGGTGGACCCCATTTCCTACAAAAAACAACTGCACTTCAGCAGCTGATGTGCCCTTCAGGCTGTGTGGGCAGCCTCCTGCCAGGTGGCGGACCCCGTGTTGTTTCCCTCCTTCTGTCCCCCTTAGGCTCCTTCAGTGCTGAGATCCTTCCCCTGCACGCTGCCACGTGTGGAGAGCCCTCCCCACCACAGTCAGCCTCTTCCTCCTCCTCGCCATCTTCATCTCCATCTGTGCTGTGGGTGTCCTCCCCGGAGAGCTCACCAACCCGTTCCTGCATCCAGTGCCCCATCTGCCAGCTGCAGTTCTCAGCGAGAGAAGTGGAAGAGCACGCCAGCGTGTGTGGGGAGGCCCCTCGGGCCTGAACCAGGAGTTCTGTGGGGTTGGCCTCTCCTCTACCCTGACTAAGACTGGGCAGTGGATCTCTAGACAGCTGAGACAGCCACGCCTCCCTCTCCTCTCCCCTCCACACATTCCTTCGGGACTCTGCCTGAGGGTACCTCTGTGCCCAACCTGCTGCCCTTGCCCAGTTGTCAAGGCTTCTGTCACCATGGCACCCAATTCTCCTAAGGAAGTTTCATCTTTTTCCCCCTTGGAACTTGAAGGGTAGAATTGGTGATCTCTCTAGGGCTTTGGACACTTTGTAGAACATCTTCTGCTTGGTGAGTGGTGTGTATCTTCATGCCCGTTTCCCTGAAAGGAAACCTGAGGCCCCGTGAAAAGAACAACACAAATCCTACTGTGTATACTGGAAAGGCAAGAGTGGGTTTTAAGCATAAACTGACTCCCAGCACCCCATGACCATAACTCTCAGTGTCCTTTGTGGGTTCCTGTCCCAGGTAGTGATGCTGTTGTGCGATTTGAAGCACTTATTTATCTTGGGCCCAGAGTGAGCCCTCAGTAACTGGGAGGGAAAATCCCTCGCCCTCCTGCTCATGGAGCTACTGCAGGGACCAGGTGGGCTCGTGACCAAGGTATGTTTCTGGGTGAGATATGTGGGGCCTCAGGCGACCCCCATTTTCCATCCATACACTGAGGTAGACCAGCTCTCTAAGGTCCTCTGGAACTGTGACAGGCTAAATTCTAGCCCCCCTTCTCCAAGCAACTCCACCCTCTCCCCCCATCCCAGATGGTTTCATCATGTGACACTCACACCAGCTCTCCTGTCCCCAGGGTGCAGGGCAGAGGGGTAGCAGCTGGTCCTGCAGAGGCAGGGCCTGGGGCGGGGTCTGGACAGGTAGGACAGGGCACAGGCACAGCAGGGCAGCAGCCAGCAGGACTCCAGCCTTCAGTCCCTGCCAGCATAGGTGGGTGCCATGGACCCCCTCACGGTAAGTGGCCTCCCCTGCCTTCCCTAATCTTGACTCCATTTCTGGTCATGAGTAAAGTGATTGATTGACCTTGAGAAGCAGCAGAGTCCTCCTTCCTGCTGGGTGGGTGGTGGACATCGCAGTGGGGAGGAGGAGAGGTCCTTGGAGCCCTGGGCCTGGGCGGGTAGAAAAGGACAAGGCAGTGCCCATGGGGAGAAGGGCCCCCAGGGCAGGAGGGGGCACAGCAAGGGGATTGGTGGGGGGGAGCAGGGCAAGGTCCTGCTAGGAGCGCTGGTCGGAACTGAGGGGCTTGGGAGGGGTTGGCTCAGAGATCCCCCCCTGTGCAGACATGCCTGGGCCTGCCAGACAAGGGCTCTGGGACTTTTCCAGGGTGAACAGCTGGAGACGGCATCAACAAGGCAGGAACTGGGTCCTGGGGATCCTGGCGTGGCCTGTGGGGTATGCCCCTCTGCAGCCGCACCCCCCTTCTCAGGATGCCCACATTTGGCCCCTCTCATGGGGGCTCCCATGAGGGTGGGAGCTGTGCAGAGGAAGGGGTCCCTACACAGACTCAGGCCGGCACTTTCCTAATCTGCACGATAAAATGGTGAAGACGATTTGCCAGCATGTGATCGGGACAAGTGGGACTAAGGACTGGAGGGAGGCCTCGAAACAAAGGGGGCTGAAAACTCTGGTCCCCCTCTGCACCCCTTCATCCAGCCACAGCCTAACTGGACGGAGATCGTGAACAAGAAGCTCAAGTTCCCGCCCCCGCTGCTGGGTGCCATCCAGGAGGGCCGCCTGGGGCTGGTGCAGCAGCTGCTGGAGACTGGGGTAGAGCCCACAGGTGCCGGACCCGGCGGGCCACTGCGGAACGTGGAGGAAGCTGAGGACCGCTCCTGGAGGGAGGCGCTCAACCTGGCCATCCGCCTGGGCCACGAGGCCATCACCGACGTGCTGTTGGCCAATGTCAAGTTTGACTTCCGGCAGATCCACGAAGCGCTGCTAGTGGCGGTGGACACGAACCAGCCCACGGTAGTGCGCCGCCTGCTGGCCCGGCTGGAGCGGGAGAAGGGCCGCAAGGTGGACACTCGGTCTTTCTCGCTGGCGTTCTTCGACTCGTCGATCGATGGCTCCCGCTTTGCACCCGGCGTCACCCCGCTCACCCTGGCCTGCCAGAAGGACCTGTACGAGATCGCGCAGCTGCTCATGGACCAAGGTCACACTATCGCCCGGCCCCACCCGGTCTCCTGCGCCTGCCTGGAGTGCAGCAACGCCCGGCGCTATGACCTGCTCAAGTTCTCCCTGTCCCGCATCAACACCTACCGCGGCATCGCCAGCAGGGCCCACCTCTCTCTGGCCAGTGAGGACGCCATGCTGGCAGCCTTCCAGCTCAGCAGAGAGCTCAGGCGCCTTGCACGCAAGGAGCCAGAGTTTAAGGTTGGCTCCTCACACACCCCTGCCCTCCATTACACCCTCCAGAGCCTGGTGGGGCCTGGGGTGGGTATTTAGGGAAATGGGAAGCAAGAGGAAAAGGGTGGGCCTGCTCTGTTCTAGGGAAGTCTCCATTGTGATAGGGAGTCAACAAAATCCCACTCAAGGGTACCTCATTTGAATGGCAGAGGGCAGTCGCCTTCCCGCCTCACCTTACCTGGGCAGCAGCCTCCGCCACAGGGATGCCCTGGGTCTGTCTGAGGGAGAAGAGAGAACATACATGACAGGCAGAAAGACAGCCAGACAGACCCCCGATGACATTCGGGGAAATAGGTCTCTCCTGAGCACCTGCTTCTTACAGCAAGGGCACTGTGTGTTGGGGGCTGGCAACTTTGGGCTCACAGCAGGGAGAGGGATGAGTAGATTTGTGATCACAGCAGGGAGACGGATGAGCCAGGATGAAACACTCCCAAGACACTCAGTTCCATTCAATGGCTCTGGTGCTGGCCTGGCCGAGCTACAGCTGCCGTGTGTGGTGGGCAGTTCCCTGCAAGTGAAGAGGAGTCTGGGTGGCTCTGAGGCAGGGCCATAGCCAGCAAAGGGTCTCAGGTAGAAGGGCATGTAGTGGGGACCAGCAGTTAGCATAATGGCTATGTCGCTTGACTGCCACGTAGTTGACCGTGGTTCAAGTCCCGGACCCGGCAGCTTAAACTCACGCCGGGCACATGTGCGTGTGCGCCCAAGATCCTAAGAGGGGAATGGAGGAGAAGGGATTGCGGTGTGGCCATCCCCTCTGGGGGATGATTTCTCGCTTTCTGTCTCTCTCTGTCTTTCTGGCGAGCGCACACGCCCTATAGCAAAAACCTCTCCAAAAAAAGGACACGTGGTGATGAGTGTGGGCAGACCCTCTGCAGGACTGAGAAGGCAGAGGCAGAGCCCAGAGGCAGGGACTGGCCCGGAGCCTTGAAAAACACCAGTCCGGTTTGTCCATCACATGTCCACTGCCATCTGCCGTGTGCCAAGCCGAATTTGGTCCCCATTCTCAAGTTTACCGTTTGGGAGGGCTCAAGGATATTACAACCCAGGCCCAAGGCATGACGTGGCCTGCGCGGCAAACCGGGGAGTCACTAAGCTGCCCCCACCTGGAGTTGTAGAAGACAGGTGAGCCAAAAGCCCCTGCACAGCTAGGGGAGGGCGGTCCTTCCTGAAGGCCCGGCCCTCTGCTCTTGCAGCAGCCCAGGGAGAGAAGCAGCGAGAATTGTCCCCATGCCACAGACAGGGAGGCTGAGGCTGCGGGAGAAGTCCTTACCCAGGGTGACACCAGCTGAGGGACAGTGCTGGGACCAGACTGAGCCTCTTGAAAACCCAGCCTGGGTTCTCTGAGGTCAGGGCTCCAAGGATAGGACGGGTAAAGCCTCGTTCATTCCCGCGTGTCCCACAACTGCCAGCACAAGCTCTCTTGCAAACTAGGGACTCAGAAAAGTTAATCCAGTGAGCACATGACAGGAAATAGACTTTAGAAAAGAGGCACAAGAGGAACCAGCAGGTGATGTAATGGTTACGTCGCTGGGTTCCCACATGGCTGACCATGGTTCAAGTCCCAGACCCAGAGACTTGAAAATCATGCCAGGGTTGTATCCATGCATGCCTAAAATCCCAAGAGGAGAATGGAGAAGGGACTGCGGTGTGGCCATTCCCCCTGGGGGGTGATTTCTCGCTTTCTGCCTCTGCCTCTGTCTCTGTCTCTCTGGCAAGCACACGTGCCCTATAGCAAAAATCTTTCTCTTCAAAAATATAAATACATAAATAAAAGAAGCACAAGGTGTGGTGGGGGGGGTTGGATAAGTGGAGAGAGCACCAGATAAGCCCGGGTGACATAGGAGGGACCTCATCACAAGGACAGGAGAGGTGGCAGAGAAGAAATCAACGACCCAGGGACACTATATATAAGAAGTGATGGCCCAAGGACAGGGCACCGTGGGTGGGCCCATTGTTTGCGGGGAGGGTGGGGTGGGGGCAGGCTGACTAAATGGGGCTGGGCCCACTGGGTGGTGGGCATACCCAGACCTGCTTCCTTACAGCCCGAGTACATTGCCCTGGAGTCGCTGAGCCAGGACTATGGCTTTGAGCTGCTGGGCATGTGCCGGAACCAGAGTGAGGTCACCGCAGTGCTCAACGACCTGGGCGAGGACAGCGAGACTGAGCCCGAGGCTGAGGGCCTGGGCCAGGCCTTTGAGGAGGGAATCCCCAACCTGGCGAGGCTTCGGCTGGCTGTCAACTACAACCAAAAGCGGGTCAGCCGGGCCCTACCTCTCCCCCTCCCTGCCCTGCTCCCTTGCCCTGCCAACTTTAGGTTACCCCACTGCGGCCCTAAGCAACTCCCTTCCTCCCCTCAAGACCCTCTTAGACCTCGATTCTGACCACCCTACGCCCAGGCCCATGTTCCTGTGGGTCCCCAACCTTCCCTCCTTACCAGCAACCTAAGCTCTCCTCAGCCCCTGGAAGACCCATTACCCACCAAGATTCGACCTCCAGGCCAGGACATCTGGGTCTTCAACCCAGCCTGGCCTCTGGCGTGCTGGGTACCTCTGGGCCAGACTTTGCTGTTAGACTTCAGCACCTCACTCCACACAGCAAGATTAGACTAGATCTCTCAGAGCTTAAACAAGTGATTCAATTATTTCCTGTCTCATTAAACACTCCCTCCAAGCTGAAGGCAGGCCAGCCTTTCTAGCCCTCTGCCTCCCTCCTGGCACCGCCTCCGCTCACGCCCACCTCTGCTTAGTTTGTAGCGCACCCCATCTGCCAGCAAGTCCTGTCCTCCATCTGGTGCGGGAACCTGGCGGGTTGGCGGGGAAGCACCACCATCTGGAAGCTCTTCGTCGCCTTCCTCATCTTCCTCACCATGCCCTTCCTCTGCCTCGGCTACTGGCTGGCGCCCAAGTCCCGGGTACTAAGAATAACAATGATGATGGTCACTCGTGGAGCCAGGCCACGGCTGGGCACTTTGTGAATGAATGTTCCCACTGAGTAACTTGAAGTAGCTCAGGAAGGTGGGGTTCCACTCCTGTACAGAAGGGAAGCTGAGGCACAGGGAATGGATATGTTCTTTTTGTCAAGGATTCAGGGTAAACCGGTCAGGAATGAAAACCTAAACCCAACTGACAACTGTGGTCTCCTCAAGAGAATATGTAGTCTGTAGTCTATGAATTCTTTGGCATCCCTTCATTCAACAAATACTTCCTCAAGACCCTGTCATGAGCCAGGCATTGTGACACCATGAGGATATAAGAAAGAACAGGTCAGGTCCAGCAGATGGTGTATGTTGCTGGACTCCCACATGGCAGACTGTGTGGTTCGAGTCCCGGACCTGGTGACTTGAAAGTCATGCTAGGCATGTTTATATGTGTGCCCCAAATCCCAGGAGGAGAATGGAGGAGTAAGGATTGTGATATGGCCACCAGGTGATTTCTCACGTTCTGTCTCCCTTGTTCCACCGAGCGCACCCACCCAACATGGTTTGAGTCCCAGACCTGGAGGGTTGCTTTCCTACTTTCCCTTTCTGTCTTTCTGTCTCTCTCTTCCATGAGTGCACACATCCTCTGGCAGCTAAAAAACAAAAACAAAATTTAAAAAAAAAGTATAGGGCCATCTATCTAGAACATCAGAATGTCTGAATAAGTGAATGAATGAAATCAGAAAAATGGAGTCCACCTGGGCCAAGCAGTCCAGAAGGGTTCCCAGGAGAGGGAGGCTGACCAGGACTCAAAGCCATGCTTTCGCTCCCTCACTCCCCCAAGCTGGGCCGCCTGCTGAAGATCCCGGTGCTGAAGTTCCTGCTGCACTCCGCCTCCTACCTGTGGTTCCTCATCTTCCTGCTGGGGGAGTCTCTGGCCATGGAGATGCAGCTGAGCACCTTCCGCGGCCGCAGCCAGAGTGTCTGGGAGACTTCGCTGCACATGGTTTGGGTCACAGGTACCCATGGGGGATCCTGATTTGGGCGGTCCCTACTCACTATTCTTCATGATAAGCATCCCAGAGGGGGATCCAGCTTCTGTAGAAGCTTCCAAGACACATATCCAGAAATCTCTGGGCTCTAGTATGCAGAGGGGCCCTTTTCCATTCACCCTTAATCAGGGCACCTACCCCAGGGGTCAATTTCTTGAGTGAGCACCCCATTCCTCCCTCTCCCCTCACCCGTCACTACCCACTGTGGAAGTTTCTGGCCTCTCACAAGTGAGGCACTGGTCCAGGTGCTGAGTGGGAAGTCACCCTGGTGTAATGGGAGCCCACAAGTCCCAGCAAGCTCTCTTAGAGGTCATGGAAGGGAATGGCATACAGAGCAAATTTAAATGCTCAAGTCGCCAGTTCATTAGCCCTGTAAGTGGTGCAGTTACAATGGTGTTGGTATGAGGACCAGAGGTGAAGTTCGAGCACGCAGGTACACCAGGCAGAAGGTGCCCAGGCCCAACATCTGACCTGCAAGGGATATGCAGTGGCAAGTAATGTGGTCACAGCTGCAGCTCACCAATCAGCCGATGAGCAGCTACGAATGTTTGGTGCATTCTTAGCACAGGAGGTTATAGAGCCGGCATGGGTGTCGTAGGGGGTAGCTGATGAATACTGAGATCCTCGTGGGCCTGGTACATGCCATGAATCATGAACTGTTAGTGACCGTGTGTCTCTTTCTATGTACACTCACATATCCTCTGCTTTATCTGCTCAACACGTCACCCAGGTAACTCACCTGTCTGTGCCGAACATGTAAGTTTCACCCAGACTCTCAGTTTTCTCCTTCTACAGCAGAAGCAAGTATTCTGAATCAATTCAGCCAATGCAGTTTCCGAGAATCCACACAGCACCCCAGCTTGCGGCTGGTTGGCTCAGTGGGCAGGACTAGCGGCCCCTTTCTCGGCCGTCTCCTCTCATTTCACTCTAGCTGAGTTAGCAAACTCCCATGCCACCAGTATGTCAAGCCTACTATCCGGCCCTGTATCGAGCCAGGTGTGTTCACCTGTGACTGCAATAAATGTTTGGTCATGCCCCACTATGAGCAGTGAAGCCTGGGGATACACAGATAAGTGAAATACGGTTCTTTCTGTCCATTCAGCACAAATTTACTGAGCATAACACCCCCAACACACACACACACACACACACACACACACACACGGTGCATACGCGATGG